ACTCGCCCAATTGATAAACCCAGAACTTCGACTTCGAGCAATTCTTTAATATGTTTATTCTGCGCAAAAGCGGGACATGATTCTGAGCATTGTTAAACAAAACATTGAAATAGTAGTTCTGCTGAGCTACTAGTTGATGGTATAAGTTTGAGAGGAATAATTGATACGGGTGCTGATATATCGCTGGTAGCTGAAAAACACGCACTTCATTTCCAGCATAAAATCAAACCCTGCTATACCACCATTACTGGTATTCTTCCAGGTGGTTTTCTTGCATCTCAACAAGTTGAAGCTGTTTTTGAGATGACCAACGTTACAGCGAATTTAAAATTTGTATTTGTTCCGGATAGTTTCCTTGATTATGATATTCTTGTTGGACGCAACCTATATGAAGATCCAGACATAGCTTGTATTACGGACCATACAGGAAGTAAAATTGTTCGTAATAAAATTGCACGAATTGTATACACTATTCCTTCTCACTTAGATGTTACTTTGGACGTTCCGCAAATATATAAACATGACCTTATGAATCTTTTGTCTCGTTTTGAAAACATAATAGCTACTGGAAATGCGGTTACGTGTGTAAATAATGCTACCATGGAAATAACGTTACGCGATGATTTTGTTATAGTTTCAAAACTAGGGGCAAACCTAACAATAAATTAATACACAAAAAGGTGGCTGAGGTACTCCAATAACCAGAATCGAGCAACTGGAGCTTCGTTTTTAGGGTGTCCGAGTGGTGTGGGTAAACTCAAAAGGCGCCACCTGTTTTCCTTCCCTACAATCAAACGAAGCTACCGATTATGAACTAAAAACAGGAAACACTCAATCCTAAATGGAAGCACTGCAAAAACCTAAATGAGCATAACAAACTAAAATGAAATGAAAGCGCTTAAAATTCACTCCGGTGCATGATTTTTATTTGCCAAAAGAATTATTTATAATATTTATTGTTAAATGGCAGCCAACAGCTGATAAGCACCAAATTTGAATTATTTATTTAATGACTTTTAAAAATAATAATAAATTTTAGTTAATGACTTTTAATAATAAAAATCTATCAGTTAACTTAAATTAGACTGAGATAAAATTGGCCATAAATACATTACATAATCAATAAACAAAACTAAATATCTACCTACCCAGAATTACGAAAAACAGTCTCAGTTCCCAAATCTTACCTTACATTCTGGTTCATTATGGTTATCAAAAATTATAGTTAATTTCCTAAATACATTCATTAAGTTCAAATCAGTGAAGGGTGATAATTAAGTACGGTTCACGCACCTTAAATCAATACCAAAATACTAAAAATACCGTCGTAAATGGATCCATTTTAACCTGTTGATACAGATTCACTAATTGCGGATAGTGAGCGTTAGACGTATATGTTTACACTAATCTGGACTACTTGGAATGTTCCAGGAAATTAAAATAATATGGTAAGTAAACGTAAGATTAACTTAATTTAAACCTAAGGTATTATAAGGTACTTTTTTAAGACAGGTAGTGGCAATTCTACTGGCTATAATATTGAACAGTAGGTACAAGTGGTTGCAGGTGAAAGGTTCCAACTCCCAAGGCGATGGTGAAACCCTTAATACAGACGGGGTGGATGGTTCCCAAAACGGCACAACAATACGCAAACCAGCAATCAGGTGCCTTTGTGCATCTAACGATAGCAACAGCAGAAAGGGATGTAACGTTACCCAGTATAAAAGAAAAGGCCTAAAAGAGAGAGTTCACACTATAAAAACTCGATTTCAACAAGAATTGAGGTAAGTACGGCAATGAATTACGTTTTTGAGGGCATAAAACTCTAACGGGGATCAGAATACAAAATAAAATGATGAATAATAGGGACTTACCAATGTGGATTGGCCTTTTCGACACTCAACACGTGACACGAATCAAACTTATTTTCTAGAATTTGGGTTTTTACGTACTGAAATCTTCTTAAATTAGCAAATACTTGCTGTGGTGCCATTTAAAAATAATAGTCACCGTTTAAGACTCAATTTACTTCCCAAATATTCACTTAAATTGGCAAAATGCCTCAGAAGATAGCTATAAACGTGCTTCTCTTCTGCGTGATTCTAGAAAAAGAAAAATTCCACAGTAAAATTTGTGGTTACACGAATCGAGTTCTAGGGAATTTTTCGTTAATTTTTGGACAGTTTGAATTAATGCCTATTGCGCATGCAATACTCAATATTCAAATTTTCGTGCCACATTTGACTCTGGTGTATTGTCTGATTTAAACAATTTCCTAACCCTATTAATAATTGTTTACTTTTCCCATTCGAATCCTATCTAAATTTTCTTATTATTTTAGGCTGGAAACCTGATGTTTTCCAAGTTGCACAATGGAAACCTCTACAAAAATATGGAAAACAAATGCTGATTTACCTGATTCCGAGAACAGAACACAGAACAGAGAACAAAATAGTGAAAACTCAAAAAGATGGTAATCATTTTGCTCTATATACGATCATATCCTATCTCAAATCAATCTTATTTTCAGAGATCGCCAGAAGCTGTGGATATCTTCATGGAGAATAATTATTGTAACTGTTATGTGAAATATATATTAAAGATTTCATACCAAGAGTTTCCTTTTTTCAGTGCTAGGCAAAATCAGGCAAACAGAGTAGTAAAAATCCAAAGGCAGCAAAAATATGTCGTAACTTGATTGACTGAAAATTAGACACGTAACAATTTTATTGTCAGTAGAAATCCTTATCGGTTGTCGGCGACTGAAAGAAAAACTGTCAGAGAAATAATCAATGATCTTATTACTAATAACATAATTCGAGAGAGCGACTCTCCGTCTGCAAGCCCCATAATACTTGTCAGGAAAAAAGAAGGATCATTTAGAATGTGTGTGGATTTTAGGGAATTAAATTCTAATACCATAAAAGATAGATACCCCCTTCCGCTAATTGATGACCAGCTCGATAGACTTGGAAAAGGGAAAATATTTACTTCGTTAGATATGTCATCCGGTTTCCATCAAATTCCCATTGCTGAAGATTCCATATACAAGACAGCTTTCATCACGCCCGACGGGCACTACAAATATCGCCGTATGCCCTTTGGACTTGCCAATGCTCCAGCGGTATTTCAGAGGGCAATTAATAAAGCTTTAGGAGAACTGAAGAACACAGTAGCACTAGTTTACTTAGATGATGTTCTGATTCCGTCCGAAACTTATGAAGAAAATTTACATTCACTAGACTCCGTTCTGAAAGCACTTCAAAAAGCTGGGTTCTCTTTGAACTTGAAGGAAAGCTTGAATATTTGGGCCGGAAAATAGCGTCCGAAGGTATTCGGCCCGGGATGCGAAAAATAGAAGCACTACAAAATTCCCCAATACCAGCGTCTACGAAACAAGTTCGACAACTGATGGGTCTGGCAGGGTATTTTCGTAAATTCATCCCTGAATTTGCTACTCGCACCGCGTGCATTACCAAACTCACCCGAGCAAATGAACCTTTTATTTGGGACAAAGAACAAAACTGGCAAGACAATACATTATTGACCATTTGACATCAAGGCCTCTACTTTGTATCTTTAATCCTGAGTTGCCGACCGAGCTGCACACCGACGCAAGCAGCATCGGATATGGAGGAGTTTTGTTACAAAAACTTGACGAAAATGTTACGAGTTATAGGATACTTTAGCAAAAGAACTGCAAAATATGAAGAGAAATACCATTCATACGAGTTAGAAACTCTTTCAGTCGTTAACTCTTTAAAGCACTTTCGGGTATACCTGCTGGGTATCCAATTCACACACGACTGCAATGCCATAAAATCAACTGCAACAAAAAAGGACATCTTGCCGCGAGTGGCTCGTTGGTGGATTTACATGCAAGACTTCAATTTCAATATCATTTATCGCAAAGGAAGCTCATTACCACACGTAGACTTTTTAAGTAGGAACCCCGTAGTTGTTCGGCGCCTGGAAGCCCATGAAAATTGGCTTTACATTGAACAACGAGGTAACGCCGAAATAAGAAAATTGGTTGACGACTGGAAGGAAGGACGACTTGATAAGTCCCAGTACATTGTGAAAAATGATATTCTACATTTTATGGTAAAAACTTCAGATGGTGTTAAACCAAGGCCTTTTGTACCTCGTCAAAGTCGGCTAGGGCTATTAAGAATATTCCACGACGAACAGTGCCACGTAGGAATAGATAAGACGTTTGAATCAATTCAGAGACACTTTTGGTTCCCCCGCTTACGCCAATTCGTAAAGAATTACATCAAACATTGCCTAGTCTGTGCAGTGAATAAAACCCGATCTGGGCATTTACAGGGATTTATAAGCAATGTAGAAAAGCCAACCGAACCGATGAAAATCCTCCACGCTGATTGCCTAGGACCACTGGAAACTACAACCGATGGATACAAACATGTCCTTGTACTTATAGATGCTTTTACAAAGTATTGTGTCCTGCTACCATTGGAAACAGTGAAAGCTGATGAGACCAAGTTGGCATTCCAATCATTTATATCACTGTTTGGAACTCCTGGAAAAATTATAATGGACGCTGGTAAAAATTTTAAAAATCTAAGCTTACCAGAATACTTAGATTGTTTGGGTATTGAGTACCATTACACGACACCAGACGTCCATAGATCGAACAGGCAGGTAGAAAGGTATATGCGTACTATTATGAATTTTATGCGAATAGAGACAAAAGTAAGGTCAGAATGGTCGAGCAATTTATGGAAAATTCAACTTGTTCTCAATACAACAATTCAAAAATCAACTGGCATAACCCCACTAAAAGCATTAATTGGCATAGATAGTGCAACACCACTCATTCAGTCGTTGCTTAAAAACATTACTTGTGATCTGCAACCTATACGTAATATGCAGTATGCAGTTGGACCGCGACAAAGTTAGAGACAACCTTGAAGCCTCAGTTCAAACCCGTCTAAAAGCAAATCAAAAACGTCGAAATACCACTCACTATAAGGTGGGAGATTTCGTTCTTATGCATCGCGACGATCGCATGCACCAAGGGAAATTGAAGTACGAGTTCCAAGGGCCATTCGAAATTATGAATATCACACCAGAGGGCCGTTACGAAATTAAGAGAGTTGGAAAATCTTTGATTACCAAAGCAGCAAAAGAACAATTAAGAATTTGGCCTAACGATTGGTCATTGTCAATGGACATGCCCGAATTACTTGAAATAATGGAAGGTGAATTATGGTAAGCATCTTGATAATGAATGGTCCGTGTTAGAATATTGGCCATACAAATATTTTGTATTGTTTTTGATTGAATGTTAAAAACTTGTTACGCTTTACTTTGTTTTGAAATGAATGTTAAAAGCTTGCTACACTTTGCATTGTTTTTGATTGAATGTTAAAAGCTTGTTACGCTTTGCATTGTTTTTGAATGAATGTTAAAAGCTTGTTACGCTTCGCATTGTTTCTGATTAAATGTTAAAAGTTTGTTACTCTTTGCATTGTTTTTGATTGAATGTTAAAAGCTTGTTACGCTTTGCATTGTTTTTGATTGAATGTTAAAAGCTTGTTACGCTTTGCATTGTTTTTGATTGAATGTTAAAAGCTTGTTACGCTTTGCATTGTTTTTGATTGAATGTTAAAAGCTTGTTTCGCTTTGCATTGTTTTTGAATGAATGTTAAAAGCTTGTTACGCTTTGCATGGTTTTTGATTGAATGTTAAAAGCTTGTTACGCTTTGCATTGTTTTTGATTGAATGTTGAAAGCTTGTCACGTTTTGTATTGTTTTTGATTGAATGATAAAAGCTCGTTACGTTTTGCATTAATGTTTTTTTTTTATTGATTGTGTTAAAGGTGTGCTATCCTTTTGCACTGCATTGTGTATAAGCGTATATGATTCAATCCGCATTCTTTGAACATGGAAACAAGAAAACATGTGTTTTGCGTTGTAACTTGCTTGCATGTCTAAAAGGTATTTTGTATTGGAATGTGTTTATGGCCGAATTTGAACATTTAAAGGCTTATACTGTTTTTTCACTTGTAAATTAATTTCAGCGATGGGAAACACTGAAGGCGAGCAACATGAAGACTCGGAAAACCTAGAAGATGAAGTGGATTTTTAAGAAGAAAACATCGAGAGCGATGTTTTGATTAAGATTGGCCGTGTTAGAAATTTTAAATTTAAGAATTTAAGAAATCACCCCGCGCCCTCCTACCAATTTTACGAGCCGCCTGTGATCGAATGATTGGGAACCCTATTCGACGTACGCCCGCTGACCTTCCCTATGTAGTGATGTGACAAAATGAGGACGAAACGCGTAAAGGACTGGCTAGGTATTCTTGGATAAGCAGGTCAGCGGGTCAGTTCCCAAGCAAGGACTACCATGTCCTTGATTCCACATTGGTCACAACCTATAAAAACTTTTTCAATTGTATGATCACTCTCCAGTTTGGAATTCATAATTTGCTTAGGAATGCGCGAGTCTGGTATGCGTACATGACCAGCCAAGCGAAGCAGATGTTTGATGAGCTTTGGCTCAATGTTGGTGAATTTGGTTTCCTCAAGGACCATTTCGTTCGGCAATTCGTATTCCTCCTGAGCAGCACTGGTACCACTTTTTCTAGGGGCTCAGTCACTTTTAAGTGGTCTAGGTATTACATCCAGAGACAATTGTTGGTACGACGATGGCATTGTATACCCAGAGCATAGTTTGGGACCTATGACATGTTTGTCAACTGCAGGATTACTTTTTTCTATATGCCCGCTTTTGTAATTTTTTCCAGAGTCGGTCCTGATTATGACCCCGTTTGGTCGAAAGCGCTTGACGTAATATGGAAGTTTTGATTATAGCTGGAACCAGTTTCTTACTATCCTCATAAAAATACGAATAGGTACACGGAAACCAAAAATAAATGAATATTAAAATGACAAAAATCGTGAAATTTCCTTTAACTGCAAGTCTAATCGGTGGAAAATAAATTCTCCAAAAACTGAGGAAACATCTGATTTTCCCCACAGGAACCTTTCGCCCTTTTATTTTTTGTTTTTCATCGTCTATTTTTGAGGTAAGTGTGAAAATTATTTGATAACTATTGTGATATTATTGGTATATAATATGGTTTTTTAAATGGTTTTCCACAAAATCCACAAATTGGGATTAAGAGTTGTTAGGAATTGCAAAAAAATTTTGATAGTTGGCCTGCTAGAAATATTACCTTCTTTCACACGTAGGCAAACCTACAAAAATAAGGTAATTTGGGCAATGCTGAGCAATAAAAGCGTTAAACAACTACCAATAATTTTATTATAAAATCCGAATTTGATTGGTATTTGTTCATTCAAATTTATAGTATTGCAACTCAAAAATTGAAATTTCTTTGAATCATGCCATATTTTGAAGTTTTTCAAGCCAATAATATAATCTAACTGCAGACTGAAGGAACATTTTTTTGATTAGGGAAGCAGTTTTTTCAAACCTCTTTTTTTATTAGGGCATACTCTTATTTCTAGTAAGCCAATAAAATATTAATGAATGTCGAAACTTTCTGATGTGAACATAAATCTAATAATAATTATAGCCTCGACAATTGAAGTGTAAAATCCTACTTCGCTGTTACATATCCTACTGATTTCACACCCTGAAATTGGATTGCCCAACTTTGATTTGCCCAACTTCGAAACCAATTATAAAGTTTGAGAATTGAACATGGTTATTTTGGGAATTATTGAAAACCAAATAATCAAAACGTAAATTTTACATCAGATAATATATGATACCTGGAAAACGGAAGTGAATGAGCTTTTCAAACACTAAATTCAGTTTAAAATTCAAGGAATCTTTTCTGATAAAATATTATTGTCGGAATTTACTTACCTCGTTGTTTGCTAGTGTTTCGATCTCATCAAACACGACGTAATACCATAAGAGCCATAAAAAATTGTTGATGGCAAACGACGCGAATAAATTCATGTGAATAAGAATCCGGGCGCATCTTAGGGACCTGGAAAATAAATAAAAATAAAAATACATGGCATAAAGAGACTTTGATTTCCTATGGAAATCGGTTAAAATTTTTATTGTGAAGCCGTATTCAAATTCCATAAAAAAATCCAGCATCGATTTCGACAAAAACGGAGGCATAATGCCGGGTGTAAGAATGTTGGGATATCAAGCATTCCCCACTTCAAAGGGAAACCGGACAACTTTTTTATAACGTCAAACGGTTCAGAGCTGTTAAAATTTTCATTAGAAGAGAATCTTATAGCGGTGCTTTTGTGTATTAAATCTTGAAGCTAGTTTATTGTTTCTAATTTGAGGGAGAGCAAATAAAATTTTAACCAAGACTGAAAGAGGATTTTAAACGGTTTTATACAATCACTTTTTTTTCCGTCTTTGAAAAATGTATATTTAAGAAACGTTGAAGTTGAACTTCTCTTTGTCAAGTTCTGTGACGCAAACTTTTTTTATTAAATAAACTACAAAACTTTTTCATCCTTAAATCATAGAAAATCGTATCTGGTAAGCGAGGAATTTAAAGTTTATTAAACTTTTGTTTCCGTTTTAGTCGACCCATGAAAAAGGACAAATATGACTTGCTTCAAGTTTAAGGTAGGAGTAAAAGATTTGTTTGATTTGTAACCCCTTTTGTTGATGAATTAACAAGAGGTCCATATTATGGGCCTCGGTTCGGTTTGCTCAGCAAATAATTATTAGAGGTGGGTTTATATACAAGGTGCTCCGAAACCATTGTGCCAAAATTTAAGGGATGATAGATCTCGCCAAAATAAACGTTTTTTTACTTATATAAACTCATAGGCGCATGCGCTTTGGTTAGGTGATAATAGAACATTACAGGACGCGCTGTGGTAGCCACCTTGCACACGGAAAAACGTGTTTGAAGCAGAAACTGTGTTATTAAATTATGCAAAACCCAAGAAATGCTTGCAGTATTTACGAAAAACAATGATTCACATCAAAAGATGCTCAAAACTACGTCCACCCACCTCCATGCATGCGTGACAGCGCCATAGCATAGCCCTCGAATACGTTGAAATTTCAGTAGCTGCTGCAACAATCCTTCCTACTAACTGTTCCTCTAGCTGTTTCAACAAGAGCTTTCATATGGCCTCATAAAAAAAGTCGCATTCCGTGGGGTCTAGTGATCGTGGCGAACGTGGAGTCCATGCAGTAGCTGTGCCCTTAACAATCACTCTTTCCAGATGTTTCGTTGAGATGTTTCCTTACGGCTAACAAGTAATGCGGTGGAGCTTTGTCGTGTTCGTACCCCATGTTTTGTCAATTGTCTGGCATACAGGGAAACAGTTTCGGGAAGGGTTTCCTACTCGATATTTTTGCTTCGACGCTATCACGCATGTATTGAGGCGGGTGGTCGTAGTTTTGAGCATCGTTTGATGTGAATAATTGTTTTAAATAAATACTGCAAGCATTCTTTGTGTTTTGTATGATTATTTAATAACACAGTTTCTGCTTATTCAAACACGTTTCTCCGTGTGCAAGGTGGCTACCACAGTGCGTACTGTAATGTGCTATTATCACCTAACCAAAGCGCGTGCGCCTATGGGTTTATAAGTAAAAAACGTTTATTTTGGCGAGATCTATCATGCCGCAATTTACACCCTGTATATCAAAATATAGTTTAATAAGTACAGAATGGCAAGGGCGCCACTGAATTTAGAAAAATAATAATAATTAAATTACATAAAACATAGAAGGGTGAAATTTCAGAAACACACCTAAATAAATAATCTACAGACGGAAATTGATAACTCTGGGAAGGAAATAAATAAGGCACATAACTCGACCAAATCCTGACATAGGTAATAAAACAATTGAGTAATCTTCAAATTTAAATTAGCGTATATTTCACAGTGAGGTCAAAAATCAAGTGTTGAATAACTTCAAAATATAAAATCAATTGCTGGTAAAACACTTTAACTAAAATCAATAAATAGAGGTTAACTCTCTATCTATTTCATCAAATTCAAAATAAAATAAAAAAATATTACAACGTACCTCAATATACTTGCCATATAAGTTCATTAACATTTGCTGCCAGAAAATAAAATCAATAAAATCAACTTGGACCCAGGGTTAGAAATAGCATTCTCACTTAATCATTTTAAATTTAGAGCATGTTGTCCAACCATAACTTCTGTTCAGATTACTGATTGCTTATTATTGATAAAATATAAGTATATTTTTTTAAAATGGCGGTACTAAAAGTTGAGCAAAGATAAACCCATAATAAGTTCGATAAATCAAAAATCAGAAATAATCATCCAAAGTTCACTACGGTGCCAAGAAAGTGAAAAGGAAATTTTAAATATCTAAAGGTAATGTCGCTATAAATTCGATCAATTAGGCTACCTAATTGACTATCAACTAGATTTTATAAAAAAGTTCACTTTTCTTCGTCAAACGTGGGGTACACATATCGACTCGGGTGAGACTTGATTCCTGTAGGAATCCCTTTAGAAGCTCTATGCCACGCTCCACGGAAATGGTGTTCTTTTAAAAATGTGGCTTTTTAGGAATGGATTTGTTGAGAGAAACGGCTCCTTAGAAAAAAACGGCTCTCCGGTAAAAACAGCTCCCCAATAAAATTCCACGAACAACCATTACTTTTACAAAAAATTGAAAAGGACTTACCACGAGGGGGTTCGAAATTCAAACTCAAATAAAACGGTAATTACGAGACTTTTTATCCAAATTTTTTTGGTAATCAATGGATTATTGCCTTACGCAACTTTATTTTGCTAAGATAATGCCTGATGGCCGATAAGGTACTTTTTCCACGAGATCGGTAATCGATATTATATTTTACTCAGGAAGATGGCTGCCCCCCTAGCCAGAGTCGACCTTTCAGCCCGAACGACACAATTTCAAAGGGACTAAGAAAAGGACAAAACTGAACAAGCAAAGCTTCCCGTCAAAAATAGCCAGCGGAAAGCGTTGGTACTAAACTGGTACGTCAAATGTAAATGAAAATCGTGCCCACTAGTTTGATAATTTCCTATTGTTATTGGCAACAGCAATCTTCTTTTTTTTTTAATGCCAGGCACCAGACTGTCAACATTAAAGGTAATAATAATAAGGTAATAAACTTATAAAACAATATTTGAAAGAAAAAAAAAACAAGTTACATTTGCAATGTTACAGATTGTGATGTAAAATAATGCTGTGTGAGGACTGCGGACGGCCTACTACTTCTGCGGTACGGAAGTAATGGGTGTAAAACCTAATCGTGCA